TTCTGTTCTCTGTAGGAGAAGAGGGGCCATCATCTGTACTTGAGGTGGCCTAAATTTATGTCTGCACGATAAACATACACCAATAACGCGCTTAACTGAAACGCTTCCCTTCACGATCCAAAACTTTTGACGGATAGCCCCCAATACTTGTGCCGTCCCGCAGTGCTCTTCTAGTTCGTGGAAATAGTTGATTATTAAATCTGTCACGGGATGACGGTTTGGAAGAACCACGGGATGTTGAAACGACTCATCGTAACTCGAGTAGTTCAAGCGACCTCCCACGCGCATTGTACCATTAATTAGAACGGGACACAAGCGCCTCAAACCGCTAGATCTAACAATTTATCTTCTACCACCAACATCCGTTTGAGTAGATTGGAGAATAATTAATTCGGAAACTATAATGTCCTGCTTGAAACACAGAAGCCAGACCATGGCCCTTTGTAACCTGGTCCAACTTAAAAAACGATTAACCAGTTTATCCAAACTGCCAAATTGACTTAACACATGAACTTGAGCTGTCCTTTTGAATTTCAAATCTTCGGGCTGCACCAGTGATGATTGTGCAGGCCATTCGGTCTCCGGTCGATCTTAAAAGTCTGGTCCGCGCAACCACTTTGGCAAGAACTCAAAGTTGCACGTCCCCCGCGAAGCTATGTCTGCTGGGTTAACACCCTACCCACTAATCTCCGCTATGAAGTTGCAGACAAATCATGAATAACCGCCAATCGATTGGTCACAAATGTGCAGAATCTGGTTGTTTAATTGTGTATATAGTATAAGATTATCATAGAATCAGTCCAGAATATTACACTTTTAAAGTGCGTACTTGTAACTGACCGGATGAGGTCAGCCACGCGTACAGTCAGGGTTACAGCTGCCAACTCTGATCGTGGTATAGAAACAGTTTTGAGAGGTGCGACGCGTGCTTTCGAACAAACGAGTGAACAATGTAAGTTCCGTGTTTCGTTAATGAAACGAGAATAGGCAACTGCACTATGTGCAACTTCTGACACATCGCAAAACACGTGTAATTCGGTCCGCATTGGATCGCTGATGCCTTTGGGTTTAAGACATCGAGCCAGCTGAAGCGTTTTTTGACTCCGTAAGTTTGAGATCCAGTTTTCCCATCGAGATCTCTCGATGACGAATAGTTGCTCATCCCATTTCAGTCCGCCTTTGCATAAAGATTGCAGTATGCACTTTCCTGGGATCAGCCAAGAAGAAACGAAACCCAGAGGCAAACGCCTTTGAACTCCCTATCGGTACACAGTAGTTTAGAAATGCATCGACAATGCCGAACTCTTCAAAGAAGATCGTTTACGTAATTGTAGGTGACTACTCACCTGTTCCAAGTAATATAATCAGCTGGGATGATGTCAGTTAGCACGAGCCAGCAGGTGTAACT